TTCACATAAACAGTGCAGCGATTGCCATTATTGTTCCTCGTGTCTGAATGACCAACATTTTTCGTGCATCAACAGCAACACACATGCATGTATGCATGGATTATTGAAATAAATGAAACAAGCTACTAGATTGAGTACATCACTAACCCAGAAATAAAGGACCTCATACGTGTTTTCATCCCGGGCATTGTCAACGGTATAGGTGATATGCGGATGGTGAGTGAGCTATCTGGTTCCAATTTCAGGTTTTGAACGATAAAGGTAGCACAATTTCAGGCGAACAATTGTTTTCAATAATTCATAATCATGCCGTTACAGTTTATATGAAGGGAAAAAACCTATGAGAAACCAACGAAATGTGACGAAACAGGTACGCAAAAGTACACACACTGATAGGGTGGTAGAGAAGAACCTGTTCATTAGTCTTTCTTTTAGGGGAGAAGTTGCCACTAAAACCCTCACCAGACAACTCAATGGAGCGGTAAAAGCCACATTCAACGCTGTGCATTTACGCTGCTCTTTCAAAAGTTCGTCACTGATATCCATACGTAATAAAGATGAACTACCAATGTTGACCGTTTTAATGGTTGTTAACTCGTTCAGATGCGTTTGTGATGCACGTTGGTCTACGTTGGTCTATCCGCATGAAAGAACACCATCCGCGCTGGTTGAGTCAAAGTGGTTCCAGCTCTATCACAAGTGCGATTCTCGTTCACCTAGTAGACACTGGCCATCGTGTTAACCCAAGTGAAGCATTCCGCATTATATATCAGGTCTCCCGCGAACCGGTCCAAATACGTTAGAATGCATACTTTGGACATAGCCAGCCACCATCTGTATTATGCATTTGATAGCCCAAATATGTGCCCCAGAAACGTCTTATCCCAACTCTTAATCTCCTCTGGGTTCGCGAGCCCATCCCTACCCCTGCCCGCACACACAACCATCTTCACACAACAACATCGATCCCTCACACGATCGTCGTGTCATAACTGAAAACCCCGGAAGCATAACAAATCTGAGAATGCGGTGTGCAGGACACACACACAGATGCATACACCAAGTGAACGGTTTCTCACATTTTATTGTTTTCCCTCAAACCCGAGATTTTTTCCTCGTTTAAACTGTGACGGTAAAATTTTCATTTATTGAATACATTTGCTCGTCTGAAATTGTTTTTTGATTGTAAGTATGGGGATATTTTGAAATGCAAAAATAAAGTAATCAGTTTACAAAAGTAAATGTAGACTGAAATTTACCAATATTGCCAATATGAACGTCCATTTCAGTGGAAGAAAATTTGGCCAAAACAAATTCCCAGTCACAGCCCTAGGGGGAATTTCGATTTGAGTCACACGCAACTTCCCGAAAGGATAGATTAATTTGGGCAAAAATTGACTTGTGAACTACTTTCCTTTTACTACGACTACAAGAGGACAACAGGTAGGGCGGCGGCGGGTGGGGGAGGTTTGCGGGCAAAATAATTCTCTGATCGAAGAGAGAATATCTCGAATTAATTACTGGATGTCTACTTGAGGTGACCACTCGTATAACCTGTGAGTTGTCCACATCTGAGCAGAATAAGTTGACGAATAAGGGAACGTTTTGTTTTTAATATAATCATAAGAAAATTATCCAGCGTATGGAAAAATTACACTCATTAAAATCATCTCAAAACCGGAGTTTATAAGTACAACCCGCTAAATCGGATACTGATCATTTCGCCAACCCTCATTCCAAAGGATTAAAACGAAGAGGGTTTGCCACAGATTTTTGAGGACACGGGAATAGTTCAGGAGGCAGACCACCCACATCGATGAACTGGCTATTCTTTTGCAACCTTAGTCAGCGACTTTGACTCAAGTATCCGACTAGAAAAGATAAAGGTAAAAGTGGTTGATGAATGAGCTGATTTTCCACATTTCAACCACAGCTGTTACGTAATGCGCCGTAACACTGATAAAAATCATACTGAGAGGAATATTACTGAGTCCCGGAATCAGCCATCAAATCCGACTGAACAGTCGGTAGGCGAAACAAAAAACCAACAGAACAGGAAATTATTGATGATCCAAAATTCAGTCAGGAAAATGATGTTCGAAACACTGAGAAAATTAGGATTTTATGTAATTTTTTTACTCTAAATCCAATTTTTAATAAGTCTCCAATAATTGAAAATCACCAATCGGTGCAGATGGGTGCAAAATTATCTGGTCCCAATCTAACGATCAACAAAACTATGATAACCCGCTTGGGGACAGATTATTTAGACCCTAAAGTGAAGCAACAATATCATAGCAACTTGCTGACCTTGAACTCACCTCGGCTCGAAAGACTCTTTGCTGATATACAACCGACCAGTGTAATAGATGCAGTTCTCCAATCTATCCAATGCTCGATCATCAATAATGTGGGGCTTGATATCAAAAATTTGATCCTCCGTGCAATCTGATTCGATAAAAAGTAATAAATGGAATACGGCAAACGTCACGTGATCGTCTAAATAGTTTGATCGCTCGGTATATCTCTGACCGTTTCGCGTTCAATCTCAATGTAGATTTGACTGAGTATAAGGAACAACACACGCTGTTTCTACCCATCTGATTGTTTTTAATCGCATGGGTATGTGAAAGTTGTCATGCATTCGCCGGACTGTGTAGTTTTATGCCAGTTAACCTAAAATTAACCGATTCAGATAAGAATTCGCTAATCCCAAGTTGTTAATTAGTTCACTTATAGAGATAAATCTCTTGATGAACCTAAATCACTATGGGATAAGATATCCGAAATCGAAGCAGTTCATCATTTTGGGTTGCTCATGTCACGTGACTGGCTATTCGTCGGGCAACGATCGAGCAATGTGAATTGTAAAGAACGGGATACTGTTTGAAGCACTTATCTTTGTGAATCTATGCTCACGTGAGTGAAGTGAAAAATTACGAACTGAGCAATAATCATGGGTATAGAAAAATGTATACGTCTGAATGAATGAATTCACCAAGTGCAGTGGGCTTATTATATGCTTTCGAAATTCTGAAAAAAAAACATTACAATTCAGAAATCACCTGTCCTGGCGGTTTGTAGTTTTCTTTTATTATCACACCGCATAAATTAAAAGATAATTGAAACGAGGAAGAACATTGAATAGTATTCCAATCAGTTATGTCCACGCATTAGTTCTCTGGCGTGTATGATGCGCTGTCAAAAACCTATCACGAACCTATCATCACTTAAGTTATTAAATAAATCATGGTGTCCTTTTAAAATTACACAACACGACTGACTTGGCCTAGCTCCCAACTTCAATCTAACTGGAAAAACAATACAGGTAGTTATGAAATTTTTCTACCTGGGCAGCTACATCGCACCCAGCAAAAGTATCACGGATAAAGACTTGTCATCAATGCAGAAGGCTTGATTGGTATTTATAAACCTAAAATATCTCTGGTGCCATCATGAAATCAAGCTGTCCGTGAAATGTGTTGTAAATGCTACAGCGGATCGGACAGTTCTATTACAAGACGCAGAAAGTTAGCCATTACAAAAACGAGAAAAACATAGATTGTCGGTGTTATAATACTGCTGTCTACATAGCACTGTATGAATCTGATGGGGAAACCGGACAAGCGATGCGGCGGTGAAGCACAGAATTGTGGACGATTGCCGTTGCCCACTAGAGCAACTGATCGACCTCCAGAGATGCGGTTGGTTGGAGCATAGGTTAGGCATGTCACCGAACAGATTTCAGTAATCAAAAATGGATTTCGACTTTGCTGATTAATGAGATCTTTGGGTAGCACTGCCCATATAATAGAAAAGAATGACTTTAAATCGATATAAGTACAAAAAATGATGTATATTCAATTTATCTTGGTTTTGATAATGATATGAGTCTAACCGTAAGGTATGACCGGTGAAATGACGAACGAATAGTCGGAAAAGCGGAAACATGCTACAAGGTCTTCATCCAAGACCCGTCGTGAGTAACCTGTCCCTCACAAAAATATATAGGAAAGGTTTTTGCCTACTTCAAAGCTGATGTTTGACAAAAAACGAACAACCGGTCAACAGACTTGAAAAATTTGTATTTCAAACAAATCGTTCCGTTTGTGTTGGAAAGAAGGATTAAGTTGGAAGTATAAACATACTCTCACATGGCGCTCCCAGTCCATAGTGGTTTAGAAGACGGTTTGACGACTGAGGAAACCAATGTGCCGGTACTATCTTCTATACGCCAACCATATGTACGATTTGTTCACTAACCTTTTTCCCCTACCATTTTGACGGATTTATCTTAATATCGTTTCGTAAATACTTTTCAATGGACAATGTATCGCCGTTTTTTTAATTACACATCTAATTATGATGAACACCAGAAGGGGGCGAACCCCATAGTCACTAGGACTTGCTGCTGTTCAGTGGTGGGATAACCGATAACCTAAGCCCCGCTGGGCTTGGAGTGGGGCAAACCGCATAAGGCTCCGATAGGTTGGGTGTGGTATTAAACCGGCTGACAGCAGAGCCGGCTACCAACAAAGTCAGGTGACGGTGACGGGGCTTAAACCTCAGACCATTGGGATCTCAAGCACACTGGTGTCAGTGACTAAACCCGTACACCGTGAAAATGCCCCGGGAGTTAGCAACCATCACGTGGTGGGAAGTGGTGATCAAAGGGGTAAGAGTATGAAAATAGCCACCTGAAGGTGCTGAGTTTGAACCGTACCACTGTCATCCATCTTCCATATATCCGTAGTTCTCCGGGCATTGTGTGCATGACCACCGCCTGAATGTTGACAATACAGATTTTATTTAATAAACACAGAAATAAAACAAAACATTCATTTGTTTTATCGTTTTTTTTTTTCAAAGTTCTCCGTGCAGTGCACATCATATGCTTTCGTGAAGTATTTGTTTGCTTGTTTGTTATTGTTGCTGTTGTTGTTGTTGTTGTGGTGGTGGTGGTGGTAATGGTTGTTGTGGTTGTGGCTGTCGCATTTAACGTAATGGGTTTAGAAAGTAAATTCAATTACTTCAGTCACATCCAAAAACAACGATGGGCAAGACGATCGACTAAATAACACTATTTCCAGTTATATACAATGTGACAAACGTTATGGAATGCCAGAATAGGTATGAAAAATTGTTGACGAGTTCTGTTGTACATTGTTGTGACTATTGCGAACATTAACTTCGCCCAGTTTGTGCTCACAGGGGATGTAAAACTCACGTTCGGGACATCCAGAGGCTGGACACTGTTGACACGTTCCATTGACAGGGATTTGACTTTTCAGATTGCACTCGATCACACAATAAATGTTTGATTTGAGGAATGGAGCTGCATCATGTGAAAGAAAGAGTTTAATTGAGATGGGAAACGTTCACACAAATTGGAAGTCACAAGTAAAAGCACAAAGAGCAAATAGTTAGTTGAGATTTGTTATCCAGTTATATTGATTTGAACTGACCATCCTTCGGACTTCACCTTCACGAACGATTCTCAGTTAGTCGATTCAGGCGTACACTCGGAAGCACCAGACTCCCTTCGAAGGTGTCGGGTCAAGCGAACTGACTGACTGTTACTGAAGACTACACCTGAGCAAAAATGAATTCGCAATTCGGTTCAGCCATTGTATGAGCTGGTTGGCACAGTGGTAACGTACACGTCTTTCGTGTGACGGGTCCCGAGGTGAAATGTCGGACGGGATGGTGGATATGCACTACTGATGAGCTCAAACAACAGCGAAACTCGAGACTAGTGCAAATTCATGTTTATTCGGGTGCAGTCTTCAGCGATAGTCAGTTTATTTGGCCCGAAAGCTTCGAACGGAGTCTAGCGCTTCCGAGTGTATAGTTGAATCGATGAACTGAGGTCTGTGCGTGAAGGTGAAGTCCGAAGGATAGTCAGCTCAGATCAATAAAAACCAATTATCCCATACTCACAAGTAATTGTGAATCAAATGCTAAATCCAGTTATATATTCAGTTTGTTCCAATCTGAAATGACATATGGACATATATGAATGAACAGGTGTTGCGTTAACGGTTACGAGACACCGTTGGATCGATGCTACCTGTACGGTCACGCACAACTGTCATCGTGGGGCTATAGATATTTTCAACACGGTAATCAAACCAACGAAACAGTATTCAAACTATTTTGATCGGTGAATTGAGAAAATGTTGTAAAGCAATCAATCAGCTAAATCCCAGATATATGTTTTTCCCTTTATTGTTCGTTCGAGACCAGCCACACAGTACTCGGATAAAGTAAGTATCGTCAATCCAATGAATTCAATGAGATAAACCACAAATGGTTACAGTCACTGAAGTGAGTAATGACTAGCAAGCCGGAATAAGTTTCGTTTGGCGAGTAACCGTTCACTACATTTTGTAGCAGCCATCACACAGAAGTAGCAATCAATAGGACTGAAACGAAACTTTAGGCTGGTGCCAGTTCCCATAAACGATTAATAAGTACAGTTTCAAGTGCGCATAGACTTACAAGAAAAATATCCAATATGGAACCAGATTTAGGACACAATGAACAAAGTAGTAACTAAATGATGAACATTTTAGTTCTAAAAGATGGAGGTTTGAGTGAAAGCATCTTCAGTGGCATACTTTTACCTTTTAATGCACAACTTGACATTTAGATCTCGTCCATTAAGGTAGGAAAGAATGACGATCGATAGCTTGCACTCTCACAAACCTCCATTTGTTGTTGTTCCAGCGATAAAAGAAAAACATTTTTATTATTTATACCCAAATTTTCACCTCGCTTCACGGATAGAGCGTTCTCGAACGAAGACTAAACTTGCCTCTTGTTCTGCTCGGGAAACGATGTTGTCAAAGAAGAAGTCGATTATATACTTTTCCCCCATTCCGTGTGTGTGTTTTCCTCTTATTGGTATGCGACTGGTCAATTTTGGTTGTGTTGCAGTGTTTGTACAGAGCTTGAATGTGTTGTACAGAGATAATCCTGGTAAAATACTATATTCCCAAGGTTTCCTCTGTGTGTATTGAAGGCTAGAAGACCTTGGATTTATTTGGCGCAGTGAAAGTTCCACAGTTTCATCTCCGAGTGTAGTCTCATTTCGAACAAAACTGATTCCACACCTATCATCATAATCTTTTTTTTCTTTTACTTCTCTTTTTTATTGAGCATGCAAAGATACAATTTTCAGGAAGGTGGAGGTGGCCAATCAAACAGGGCTGCCATTCAACACACACACACAAATGGGGAAGTCAGGCGCTGGTGGTCGGATTCGAACACACGTCCTCCGGGGTGATAATTTGGTGACGTAACCACCGGGCCACCACCGTCCGCTTCGATTGCCGGCTGATTCATTACCATGCCCATCTTATAAAGACGTTCTACAATCTGCTTGATCGGGCCTCATGGCTGGGATAGCCACTAATCGTGAATAACCAGTTTCTGTTTCAGGTTCAAAAACCACCGACCAGGCATTTTCGTGCGGCCGTTTTGAAAAGAACATCCAATAAAGACAGTCTACTTAGGCTGGCCTCATTCATGGTTATACAGGCCTTCAGCTGCGTTTGTAACGCAACCTACATTGACCGAACGGCGAGGCAGCTGTCTCAGCGGATTAAAGAGCACTGCCCACGCTGGCTTCAACACGGTGGAAAAGGTGTCATAGGAAGCGCTATCCTTGCTCGCCTAGCAGACTCAGGTCACCAAGTGAAGCCTGAAACATCCTTCAGAGTCATCTATCGAGAACCACCTCACCCATCCAAGTCGCTGCGTCTTCACACCCTAGCCGCTGCGGAAGCGATTGGCATTCGTTTATTCAAATCCAATCTATGCGCACAGAAGAGATTGGCCCATGCTATTCAACTACCGTGGTCGAAGATAGATCGCGCCAGTGACGCATCACAGTTTGATGGCAGTGTTGTGGTAATCTAGGTGCATGAAACACGTCTCACCACCCAACCCCCCTCACCCCACCCCATTCCTCTCCTTTTCAATCAATCACCCTGATCTTTGAATGACTGAATGACTATCCCCGTTCAAACTGTCATTTTGCTATTCGATCTGTACGGGCCAGAAGATGAATCAATGAAAAAAAAATTCTTCGTTTCTAAATTTGTGTTCTCACGTTTTGGAAAAGCCTAGACTTCTTGGAATAAGTGGTGGAAGAAGGATTGTTATATTGCATGGGATGCTAAAGAGCTACAACGAATTCCGATTGATTGAGGTAGCCAAAAAGTTGAAAAGCCGCACGGGCACCACTGTTTGTGACACGGAGCCTTATTGTTCAATATCTCCAACCACTGATTACAATGATCTCAAGTTCTCCATCCTGGAAGCTTAATGTGAATTATATGACCGATTCTTCTGATCAGAGTTTTCATACTCTCATACTAGGTCTTACTTTGATCACCCCCGACGATTTTCCACTCACCATCCACCTAGAGAAACATCACGTGCACGGAAGTCTATTAGGTGACGTTTATGACCTATACTCTAATCAATCTAATCTCTGGAGGTCTATCAGATGCTCTATGGGCCACCATGATCATCCACAACTCTGTGTCTAACCTCGGTATTGCTTGTCTGGTGATCCCAACAGATTCTCGCAATGCAACGTAGAAAGCAGTATTCCAACACCAACAATCTATCTGTATCCTGTTTTCGTAATGGTAAAGTTTCTGTACCGTATCATAGAACTGTCGGATCCGCTGGAGGTTCATCATCAATTCATACTATTCGGTCGGAACGTTTCCCCTCTCCCATGATGAATCCAGGGGTTTCGTCGATACTTCAACCGAGACTAAACCTCCATTACCAAAATACTAATGTACAGACTTCCGAACCCGGAGGCTGTTACCTCTTGAGATACTTTTTTGTCATGAAAACATGCATTTCAGACGAAGGAGTGACATCCATTGGCAATAGTGGTTTCAGTGGAGATAGTGTTTAGTGGTTGATAGACCTAATTTCGATGACACCCAGTTGAACTCTGTCTCGAAATGTTCAGCCTATCGATCAAGACGATATTGCTATTTATGAATCAATGTGCCATCGGCCTTCTTTATCATGCCTACTTTCCTTGGTCCCGTGCCCTTAATTAGACGTAAAACACTTTCTACCTACCACTTTTTGTGGTCATTCATCAGATTCTTGACGAGCTGGCGTTTGAGGGATTTGTGCGCTGTGTCCAATTTGACATAAGAAGGAATGGTTCTGCAAATCTCTGCCAGTCTAACCGAGGTCGATGAGACCCATTGTTTATGCATTGATTGCGCACCAGTAGATCCCACTTTTCTGATCAACATTTGGACTGCTTCTTTGATTACCGTGTAGTGTTCACCGAACCTTTGAAAGGGGGATTTCACATATGTGCAATGATAGAATTTAGATTGGAAGGTTAATTTTCATCGATCGCTTGCATTTCATTGTGGGTATCCGTTTCCGGTAGATTTGCTGCCGTTATTTACCAGGCATAAGGAAGATTTGGTTTGTAACAGATCATGGTCCATGTGAAGGGGTTTTGACCAGTACGAACTGCTGTCAGCAAAGGATCTTTGGTAGCGATAGTTGATGGTGATGTGGTCGATTTTGGATACATCAAGGTGAATAGGTGGTCAATTTCCATTAAAGCCGAGTGATTTATTGTGGCAGAAGTTATTATTTGATAAAAATAATCCACGGTCAGCACCAATTTGCAGTAGTACAACTCCGCTTCCCTCTCCTTTTGGCTAAGGTCGCACGCGGGAGGCCTGGGCAACTTTCTGACCCGTTCGGGTATCCTAATTGAGCATGGAATTTATAAGCGACTACAGCAATGTCCGTATGGCGAACAGTGTGGGGTACTTGAGAAAGATGCTTTATATCTCGTGAACAAGAACAAGTAGATGCATACATCGGTCGGCACGACAAAAAGCACGGATACTTTGTTCTGTAGCTGTTGACTTATACTGAGCCCTCCTTACGTACAACACATCCGGTTACTAGCCTGCATCATGTGCAGAAATGAGCGCTCAGCCTTGGCACCTAACTTATTCCCTACAATGAGATACGGATGCCGGATAGCCCAAAATAAGTGAGTGTGAGTATAAGGTTAGACCTGGAAAACGCAGTGATGACTGAAGTGGGATCTTGTATGCCTGTTTTGGAGACACAGCATACGTCTAAATTAAACATTTTCACGTTTCTAGCTAAAGTAGATTGTTGGCCGATCTGATACTGTGTATATGGACACTATATAAGGCTAATTAAAAAGGAGATTTTGACATACACAATCAAAATTCTTTTGGATGGTTGACTGTGTTAAATCAACGCTGAATCATATTCCATGAGTGGCAGAACGAGGAAGGATCTCGTAAGACGTCAAAGTGAGAGGAAGAACTAGGCTCATGAGAAAGAGCGTTGTCCTAAATTGTACCTGAGACATTACTACANATCATCGAATTGGTTATCCTTTTGGATGTCTTGACTGAAACGTGTGACTCACAAGGCAATTGGGCGTAGATTCCATGCGGGGATGAGGCGATAGTACCCGCATGACAATGTTTTGTGCTCGCTTCACTGTATTTCGCTGTACGATGATGATGTTGTGCTCGGCCTTGAGGCTTGTTTCAAGAGTGTTGTTTGCTAGAGTATTGACTGATGGTTATCTTTTCGGTGTAAGCCCTTAGTCTCTTGCACCGAATGAAGCGAGTGGAAGACGAACTGGACAGCAACTTGTTGCCTGGGTTTGCCTAGCTTGTGCAATTATCTACTGAAGTGAGAGGAATCCCGAGGTACTCGCTCCCACTGTTGTGAGATACTGCTCACTTGTGAGTAGTAAGTGACATAGCGGATGGTTATTTTCAACGATCAAAAATTGCTACTCTTTGTTATATTTGAAAAATTAGGAATACCACCTAGGGTAAATTGCTGTATCTCAGAGAATAACTATCGATTGTTACATTCATTACCTATCGTGCGGCCAGGAACTGCGACGGTATGTTTATGATGATATTTGCTGTGTTACGTGTATGCCAAAGTACTGATGCCCCATCTGTGATCCTAATAAAACGACTATCCTCAACCAGCACCGCCTTTTGGAATTACGACAACACGTTCATCTAGCAGGGTTTTGGAACGGTATATATATATATATATGTTGGAATTACCTCACTAGAGGCTAACAGTGAATAAAATAAAGAAGCCAAGAGGTACCCAAAAAGCTGTCCGTGTAACAGTAGTTTTTGTATGTTCTATACTCATCGACGATCTAGACATGGTCGGATGTGCGGTCGTAAGGAGCCATCTTGTTTACTTCTCAGGGTCATGGAGGTACACGAGTTATCACGCCACATTAGCGTGCAGTCATCTTGTGTTGAGTAAATAGGAAGTACTCATAATCGTGATTTTTATCCCGTTTTACCGTTCATTACACAATATGGTATAATAAAAAATAAAATAAATCATTCCAAGTGTGAAGCGCAAACTGGTTTATATCGTTCTGCTCGAGTACACTATAGATGTGTACGTACTATTCCGTCAACTAAATACCCTTCGTATACACCCTCAACATTAGCGGTGTGAAAAACATGTAAAGACGGATCACTGAATTCTGATACACCGTACTAGACTTGGGTCTACTGCACACACACACACACACACACACACACACACACACACATACACACGTGAGAAATGATGCAGCTAGCGGTTCTACAATAGTATTCCCATGCTCACCCGGACAATCTTTCACACACATATCGTGAAATGTGTATTTGAAATCGGGATTCGGTTGCAAACGACTGTCCGTTCGGCTCACAATCTCTTTCGGTGGACACTGACTGACACATTTGTCCCCATCCCGAGCTGACATACAGGCCTGTGTGAACGGTCATCAGTTGTGGCGGGGAGGGGGTGGGGCAATGATTTGT